TACCCTGATGCCCGAAGCCAAATCCCTGGCCACGGTGCCCAAAAGCTCCTGGAAAAGTCTGAGGGGCCAGCCGGCCCTGCCAACAGGTGGGAGGCGGCTGCTTTCCCTCCCGCTCCCCCCTCCCTGGGGTCAGGGTCCTGCGTTTGCTTGTTGACAACTTGCACGTCACATGGAGGGTAAAACTCAGCTGCTGAAAACCGATCAAGGCCCCCAAACGGTTTAACAAAAGGACAAAATGGCACTGTCCCCACTTAGCCCACAGGGTCCCTCTGGCTGAGCAATGGGGTTCCATCTGCCCCACCCTCCTCCTTCTCCCCCAGCCACGGCTTCCAGAGCAAAAGAGCGCGAGCAAGGAGCAAACGCACCCCAAATTCCTCCCACTGTCTCTTCCTTGAACAAAAGGAACCGAGGTTGGGCTGCGTGTGTGTGTGTGTGTGTGTGTGTGTGTGTGTGTGTACCCACCCAAGGGTACAGAGACAAACAAAATCTAAAATTCTTTTCCTACTGGTGACTCCATATCCATTTTTAATAAGTTGCTATATATACGTCTCATGTGTAGATAATATATGTACATATTAAAAACATATCTGTGCATGTGTGTTTCAGGCACCCAAAGCTCACTGTTTGCCTCCGACCTCAGTTTCCCCTTTTGTGAGAGGAGAGACGGGGGTGCTTCAGCCCTGACAGTTCATCTGAGTCTGCATCCCGGAGGCGGAGGGTCAGAGACCCAGGCCCTCCCTGTCCAGCTTGTCCTCCTTCCTCCCCTCCCCTCCGCAGCCCTTCCTGCAGCCCCGCCATTGGTGACGGCGCCCCCACACACACACTGTCCTCTTTAGAGATGAACTTACCCCCGGGATGGGGATCCCTAAGGCCTAGAGCAGCGGTTCTCAGTGGCTGATTTCCCACCCAGGGGAGACCTGGCTGCCTCTGGAAGCAAGGCTGGTGGAAACAACGTGGGGCGAGAGTGACACCTAGTGGACAGGGGCGGGGATGCTGCGCAAATTCTCGCGGTGCACAGAGCAGCCCCAGGACCTGCCAGGGGAGCTGAGGGTAGGAAGCCTGCCCTGGAGTGAAGGCGGGTAGATGCTCTACCAGTGGTTCTCAACCTTCGTAATGCTGCGACCCTTTAATACAGTTCCTCCTGTTGTGGGGACCCCCAACCATAAAATTATTTTCGTTGCTACTTCATAACTCTAATTTTGCTACTGTTATGAATCCTAATGTAAATATCTGATATGCAGGATGTATTTTCATTGTTACAAATTGAACATAATTAAAGCATAGTGATTAATCACAAAAACAATATGTAATTATATATGAGTTTTCCGATGGTCTTAGGCGACCCCTGTGAAAGGGTCGTTCGACCCCCAAAGGAGTCGCGACCCACAGGTTGAGAACCGCTGCTCTAGACTGTGACAGTTGGAGCACCCCGGTGGCCCCAAGAAAGGAGGGAGCATGAAAAGTTTAAAAGAGAGGAACCGGCCGGGCTGGTGTTGTGCAGTGGTTAAGCGTGGACCCATGAACCAGGAGGGCGCTGTGCCATTCCCTGGTCATGGCACGTGTCCAGTTGCGCTGAATCCCCAGTAGGGGGCGTGCAGAAGGCAGCGATCAATGATGCTCTCTCATCACTGATGTTCCCTTCCTCTCTCTGAAATCAATTAAAATATGTATTTTATAAAAAATAGAAAAAGAGAGGAACTATGTTTGTTCCACAGCATTGAGGTTCCTGCTGAGTGAGCCCCATGAGCCGTGTTCACATGAGAACATCGCGGCGGGGCTGGTTAAGGCGCGGGGCGATGAAGCGTTAGGATGGACATCTCGCCCTGGGACAGGCTCCCGAGTCTGTGCCCTGGGGGGTGGTGCCCCATGGGAGGGGGAGGAGGCATCGCTGCCGGGCCGAGCAGCGAGCTGATTTCAGAAGACGGAGAGGTCCGCACAGCGACCAAGTCCAGTTTGGGCCACAGACGTTCCCTTCCTGTTACAGGGGCTCCTGGAGCAGCGAGGTCACTGGAGAAGGAGGGGGTGGGGTGGCTTCCCCAAGAGAGGAGGGGGGCTCACGTATGCGCGCAGTTAGGGAGCGTGTGAGTGCACTGGGAAGGGGGGGGCGCGAGCAGACCCGGCCCCCGCCCTCAGCAAGTGTGCAGTTGTGATGGGAACGGGGGGGGGGGGGGGGCTAATGACATGTATTTCGT